TTTGGTAACTGCAGGTTCCAGAAAGCAGGGTCATTCTGAAGCATTAGGTAGAATGACTCCTGAAAAAAATTAGACGGCACCATCAAAGAAGTCCTACTGTAGCAAGAGAGAGAATCTCCATTTCTGATGCTGCTGGAGACAAGTCAATCCTACACTTTGTACCTGAATAACATGAATAAAGGGAATGGGCATGTGAATGTGCCCGTTTTGCATTTCAGCATATTTTCCATTCAGGCCAAACAAATTCCTTTCTCTGATCTCCATCAGAAAGTTCCAAAGCCATGTCATTGGCATCAAAAGGCGTTATTTGAAAATCCACAATATATTGATTTCAAAAGAAAAGAAAACTAAGGTATCCAAAATTCCTCTTTGCATTCAGTTGCGTAGTTCAAGGATACAGAAGGTATGATGTGACATCAAAGCAACTAAGTGAATTTGCAGTCAAAGGGACAATACCATTTTTGCCTGACAAGTTTTACTATGTTATCAGAGTATGTCTAGCAATGAAATCAAGAGGAAAAAGGTAAGGAAGGGGTTAGAGGTCAAATACTGTAAGTGTAGGTGGGTTATTAAAAAATACAACCCATTCTTCCAGTTTTCTTTTGTTTACAGAAAATATTTTATTGCTGCATAGAAACTTATCAATATTATTTACGGGAAGATAACAGTAAAAAAGGAGCCTTTAGCAATAGATCAGAAGTCTTTTTTTTTTCCTGTTTTTTGAAAAGGAATAAGTTTCCCTCTATAGTTTTTAGCTTCTTTTTTTTCCTCATAGCTACCAGTCTCTCTTCTGCTGCTGCTGCTTTCACTTTGTCCAAAGCAGCTTTTCCTATTTAGCTACCATCATCTTGCCAATTGATTGATTGTGATTGATTTAGAAATCACAACATCTCAAAGAAGGTACTCCTAATGAGAATTCCATTTGAATTTATCCATTGGTACCTATTGGCACAATTTCTTCCAAATCTTGGGTTTGAACGCTTCACTTGGGTATTCATGGAAAAATATACTTGGACCCATTTATGATGCTTTAGAACATCCAAAGACCAAGCAAATAAACAAGAATATTGAAAGTCACCGGATTTCATCAGGGCTGGCCTGTATAAGTATGAAATGTAAACAAGGAACTTACTGTTTTGCTGTTGTTTTTCTGGCCTCAATATTTTTGTCTATTATTATCTAAACAAAAGAGGATCTGTGCTCCTGAACTATATACCAAAGTGCATCATCTCGCCTGGATCGGTAAGTAATGGTACTGCATGGGTAACAGTCCCATCGCTGAAAGCAAATACTGTTTTTCTTTGATTTTAGAACACATTAAGAAAACTGTTAATCCCTAGGTTAATTAACCTCCTCTTTTATTTTTAGACAAGCCCATTGTTGTATTGCAGGTAGCAAGAATAAACCCAGGCAGTTTCACAGTATTTTAATGCCAAAGGTGGGTTGCTTAGATTATAGGGAGCCCATTAACATAATTAATTTAATTCATCAAACTTCTCACAGTTTAACTGTGTTGCTTTTGTGGAGAAACAGTCAGCAAATATCCAGGATTTTACTTGGTACAAATGCAATTAAATATTTGCATCTGAATGCAATTTGAGATCTAATCTAAATGATGAATGTGAGGCCTTTAATGTTTTGATTAGAGGGCAGTTAGGATGTGTTTCACATCTTTTTTTTCCCCATCCCCTTTAATTTCACCTTTTAAAGAGAATACCTTTAAAGTCACCTAAATTATTGGTGTGGTTGGGTTCCCCCTCCAAACTTGTTATTACTATTCTTATAGTAATTTAGCATATATATGGACACCAAATTGTTCTGCCTCCTGTCCCAACTGACAGATGAGAAATATTTCTTAAGAACAGTAATGATTAGTTTCCGTATCTCACTACAGTTGGCAATGAGTTTTTCTACCAGAATTGTGAAATTGCTGGTGTTGCTCCAATTACCCCTGTACTAATGTGGGGACCAGCTCCAGGAGGGCATCAGATTGAGCAGGAAGTATTTAAACAGGTAAATGGTGAAGAGTTAACTTACCAAGCTTAACAGGCATTTTCAACAAGTATCTGTAATATTGGGTGGAAATATTACATAAATGTCAGGGTTTGCAGGCTTTCTCCTCTAATTAAAATTCCCTTAGGTCATTTCACACAATATGCCAAGTCAAACCTGAGTTTACCACTGAATGTATCCTTAGTGCAGCCCTGCAGCCAATTGTGTCTCTCTAGTGTCATAAACCTAATATCTCTGGTCATTATATTTGTGAAGTATGTTTTTACCTCTCCATTTAAAACATCTTTGCTATGCTCCTGGAATGTAACAGGGTGAAGTGGTCCTTGGTAATCTCTCTGGCACTGCGAGCACGTAGTTTGAGAATTAAAACTGTAGAATGAAATTAAATTAGTGTTTTCTAATGAAAGTCAGGTGTTGAAAGAACAAAAGTATACATAAGGGAGAAAGGGCAGATTGCAACAGTGTAAGAAGTGTATTTTATCACTTAAATTTACATTTTCCAAATCCAGACATACTACATTAAGACACAGCAGTGTTTTGTTTTGCACCCCCCCCCCTTTTTTTTCCCCTATGTGTTGTTTAGGTTGGGCGGCTGTTATTATAAGGGAGCAAATGTCAGAATTCAGAATCTAAGCATTCAAGGGGTTGGGTCTCATTTTGAAAGGGTTGGTAAACACAGTTTCTATCCTGGTGCCACATGCAAAGCATAATTGATAGGCCAAATTCCATGCATGTTTTTATGTGCATCCATATAAACAGTAGCCTCTACTTATGGGAGAGAGAAAGAAGAGTTCTTCTATAATTCTCAGAAAAATCAACTCTCTGAACTCCTTTCATTTCACATAGACCAGCCAGCCTTGGCTGTCCAGCAAAGGAGAGCCCACCGTTCTCTATTCCACTTTCCAATAGCTGATGAGAAGCTTCTAACATTTAGCAGGAAACTGCTTCTCTGCCATTTCTATTTGTTGGGTGTAGTCCTTCAGACAATTACCAGCCAGGACGCTGCTTCCTCTGCTTGTCAGGAAGAACGTCACAATAGGAGAAAAAGGGACACCAACAACCACAGAAGAAGTAGCTGTTTGGGCTTTCTATTCTAGTCAGAATCCCAAGAAGATCTAAGGAATAATGCCTTAGGTTTGTTTTTTTCCCCTCTTCTCTGTCAATATCAATCTCACCAGTCAGCTTTCTAATAAACGGGCATTTTGTGACTGGCCACACTCACCGTGACATCCCTTTTAGAATAGGGATCCCCCAGTGGCAGTCCTTTGTGAGTGTGCCAATGAGAGGCCTCTGGCCCAAACAGATTGCTTATCCCTGCTGCATGGGATTCAAGCAGCTTTAATCAAAATGTAGCTATCTGTAGTTCTGGCTGCAAACCCCAAACCATGGCAGTGATCCCATTATTTAAATACAGCTTTCCTCAAGTAAAGGAATCTTAATTGTGGCTATCACAACAGAAAGAAAAGGGAGGTCTAAGGGAATGAAAGACTCTCAATTTACTGATGCATTAAGTATCCTATTACTGTATATGATAGGAAAGAAAAAGGGGATTGTCTGAAATTTCCTCCCCTCCTCTGCTGCAAATGCTTTTGCTTTTTATTAGTCTGGGTTTCCCCTTCCCCATGAAAACTATAATTAAGGTTGAGATTTCATGCTTATTTTTTTTTAGGCACTAATAACTCTCTCAAACCAATTTCTTATCGCAGATTCTTAAAAGGCCATGGTTGGATTTTTCATATGCTTTGAAAATTGTGAAATTATCTACTCTGGCATTATAATAATCCAGTAGAGAATGTAATTGGGGTTCTGAGAGCCAAATTCTCCTCTGGTGTAAAAAGAAGACAAAGAAGAAGCAGGGCCACTGCAGCTGCTTACACCAAGTGACCCAGATATGCATCTTCTTCATTGCTTTTCCACAACCAATTGAGGAAGAATTGTTCAATTGAAGATGGCATATCTGTATTTGGGCTGTTCCATTTCAGACTTGGGGGGGGGCATCTCAAACTTCATTGCTCTGCTAAAAAACAAAGCAGATACCTTGAATAGGGAATTGGAAAGCTGTGGTGAAGGAAAGGTCTCATGTAGATTTCTCCTTATCATAAGCCCAATTCAGAAGTTCACCCTCGCTCCAAGTGTTCAGAAGCATGCAAAGGGGAGTGCGGAGTGAACTCCCATTCAACTCTGTGTTCTCTGTCACTTCCTTCTTGCCAGTCCTCACAGCCCTTCAGGAATTGTGTACTGGGGAAGCCATCTCTATGCTCTATACTCAGAACTCTTGTCATGTCTGTCATTATGTGAGAAATAAAGCTAGCAGGGGGATTGCTGTTACTCACAAATGCCTTCAAGGATTGGGGTGGGGGAATGCCTTCTTCTCTCTCAGATAAGTACCTTCTTCCATTTAGTGAATAGATCATAGCTCAGCAACCCAGAGACCAAGGGCCATACACCATTTCTCCACATGTGTTTGAGTCCCCCAAAATCACCATTTGGGGGGCTCAAAAATGCCAAAAACTAAAGTTATCAGAAGAATCTTGATATTAAAGTGCTGCCTGTCTCTGTCCCAAACACATCCAACATGCACACATATTCTCTCTCTTAGCATTAGACTGTTTTTCTTTTCAGACATAATTGCACCCACAGTGCAATTTTTCTGTGAAGTTTTGTAATATTTCATATAAGTTTTCTTAAGTTGCAAAGCAATTGTTTAATCAATGTTTTCTTGGGTTGCAGAGTTACCACTTAAGTATGGCAGTGATTTTTTTTTCTCTATATATAGTATAATATTGTGCAACTTCAATGTTTTGATAAGGCTTTTTTTTAAAAAAGTCTTCTCTTTGCCATTCCAATCCTTCATGTTCCTACGTTCATAGGAAAAACCTAAAGGGAAGGGGTGAAAGAAATCCTTGCTCCATTCTGTGTAGAGTAGCTGTGATTATTTATTACCTGAAATCTCCTGTCTAATTAAGTTTTGTGTATTTTATTTCTAGGTGCAAATATTGGAAGCTCTCCAACAGCCACAGATATTGCAATCATTGGAGGTAAGAATACAATATTACTCGAACAAAGACTATATTTCATCAAACAGTGTTTTGGAAGAAATGAAATAAGACTTTCCATCTTTATCCCCCCAAAAAAAAGGTATTCTCCACTGAATGGTTTTTTTTTTTCTTTTTTAAGAAAAATCAATGGTGTGTTGCCATGTAGTTCTATCAGTGGGGTGGGGGGTTTGTTCACTGGCACAACCCTCTCTGTAACCCTTATCACTGAGCCCTGCTACCATCCCCACATTGCAGGAAAAGGGATAAAATAAACACCTTGTTCCATGGAATTGGCTTCTTGCACAAATTGGGAGCCTGTGCACAAAACAGAAATAGGTGTGGGAATAGAAAATGTACTCTCCAGCTTTGTGGTACATCTGCATGTACACTCAAGGTTTCCCAATATACAGGTCACAAGTTAAATGCATGAAGACATGAAAAACAGAGAGGAGCAATAATTCAGGTTTCAGACAACTGCAGGTCGATTGAGAAATACCATTGCAGTGCTGAAGCTCATCCAAGACATCATGAGACATATTACATTCTATAAAATTGCTACTACCCCCTTGAAAAATGGAATGTTTCAGAGTCCCTCAGAATGGAATGTTTTGTACATGCCTATCCTTAACCAATATATATCAATAGAAACATTAGGAAACAAAGATCCTTTGAAATTACTGGTGTCAAGAGTGTCAGTGGAGTGGGTAAGAGAAAGAACATTGTTGGAAGTGCTGTCAAAATGGTATATCCAGTCCATCTTCCCTTAAGCTGTCAGATACAGGTGTTACATTATGTCATGCTTCCATGTATGGTGTTTTATATGACTTCCACAGGATATCTCTGTTTTTGCACAGTGTATATCCTGTGTGCTATTTGCAGTTACATTCACCACCAGGAGGCACCCTGTAGAAGAACATCTTGCTACCAGTGTCTGAAGATCCCAATAAGGATGAAACCAGTCTCCTGGTGGTCAATGTAACCAAAAGGTTGCGTGAAGGTAGATACGATAGATCATCAATTCATACCATTTATTATAGAAAGGAATATTATGGGTCCTAATGTATATGCTTTTGCCCTTACCAGGAGACTAAAACAGCAACAAAGTGATTTGGAAAATCAGATTTTGATAATTGTATCCCTGATGCTCACTAAAAAACACAAGTTATGTGAAAAAGGCATTTACTCAAAAGGAGGCAGCTGGAGAAAACCAGCCAGCAGTTGCAGCATAAACTAAAGAAGACTGCTGATAAAAAAGCAATGCTTGTAGATGGGGCTGCTGAAAAAGCAAAGCTAATAGCAGAAGGGCAAGACAATGTAGAAAAACAATTGGCTGGAGAAGAAGTAAGAAGAGGCAAGGCAGGTCTGGAGAAGATGGAGGTGGCAACAGAAAAGCCAATCATTTTGCCGAAAAGCATTCAGACTAGTTATATGCAAACTTCAGTGGTTCAGGAAGAGAACATGCCAATATCCTCTAGTATTTTCCTTTTTTTTCCCCTGAAATATACCAATCCAGCCACTCCAGAGTTGGTTAATTGTTTTCTGGAAGTGGTTCTTTGAGAAAAAGAAGTGATTTGCCTTGTTCTGGTTGCCTCCTGGCTCTCAGATAGGCCTATTCTGAAAATCTCCTCAGTGGAAATGAAGCTTCAGAGAAACTAAAGGAATTAAGAAAAAGCAAAAGAAACAGAGGACCGAAAAGTGTGGTTGCTATTGCTTTAATCCTAAAATAGGGGAAATGCAATAAGCATTTTTTAAAAAAAGTAGAAGAAACCTGTTTATACTTGTATCTTGTATACTAATCTTGAAGGAGAGAGAGAACTGTTAATAGAAGAGTATTATGTTGTTCAGCAGAATGTGACTAAAGAGTTGATTAGCCACTTCCCTGTTAGGGCAGCAGCAGTAAAACTAAGGAAACTAAGGGAGGAGTTAAGAGGAGAAGCAAATAAAACTTGAATACAGGAAAAAAAGAGGAAGAAGAAAAGGAAATTACAGTATATGTAAAACAAAAGAAAAATGCATCTCTGGTAACCCCTTCCAGCAAGCAAATATTCGTTCTGTTATTGGGCAGGAGAAGGAATTTTTCCGATGTGCCTCTTTAACAGTAACAGTGAATTGGTTAAAAATGTTTCTGTCACAATCAACTTTTCCTCTCAACAACTTTTCCTCTCAACAACAACAGACACCACCACATCTCAGATAACTATGCTGCCAGGGAAGAGAAGAGAGAGGCAACAGGGTCGTTGTAAGATCAAACCTTAATATATGAACTCCAACCTTGTTCATGTTGAGGCACTAGCAGCAGAATCTTAAAGGATATTTATCTATACCCCAAATAAACTTGGAACAAAGTTTCTCTCCAAATCAAACCTGCAATGAATGATTGTGTCTCACTTCCGCTGCTGTACAGTACAGCAATGTTTCTCAACTTTGGCAGCTTGAAGATGTGTGGACTTCAACTCCCAGAAATTCCCCTCCCGCCGCGCGGGTGGGGGGGGGACTGGGGGGGGGGGGCGAGCACATTCCATCTACCCCAGCTCTGAAGCGATGGACGA